CGGCAGCAGAAGCGCGACGCAGGCGGCCCGGAGGAGCAGTCCGGCCCACATGACCGGCGGCGGCGGGTCCCCCCCGGCTCAACTCGGCTCCAGCGCCGCACGCGGGGGAGGGGGCTGCTGGCCCTCGCCCCTCCTCCTGGCGCCGCGGGGAGCGAACCAGCGATCCCAGAGCTGGCGCGCCGAGCTGAGCAGGGGGGCTGGGGACGCCGAGAGGAGGGGCCGGGGGCCGCCAGGAGACGCTGCGGGCGCTGTGGAGAGAGTGGGGGTGTCTCCCGCACCTCGGAGCGAAACACACAAAAGGCAGCGCCGCCCGCCCGCCTGTGCCTCTCCGGGAGGCGTGGAGCCTGGGGCTGGGGCAAAGATCAGGGACCCCTGGGGGCGGGGCTTCGCCCTCGGCCCACACCCCCTGACCGGGTTTGGAAATCGGCTTTCTGCGAAGGGCTGAGGTCTTCAGACTGAGGATCTGGAAGGAAAGAGACTTCGGGAACAAGGCTAGCGCTAGAGGCTGCGCACCCCGGGCATCGCCTGTCTCGGTGGAGCTCGAGACGCCTGTGTTGTCACGAGGTGAGAATCGTGTAAATCCGAACCCAGGACGCTGGGTCGCTGCGCCGCTGGGCGGTTCTAGGCCTGCCCTCAGCCCGCCAGCAAGGCTTCGCCTCAATCCCTGAGTGCACGGACAGGTGAGTCCACCCACTACCTGGCCAGGGGACACTAGCCGATCTTGAACCCACAGTCTCCTCTGGGGACCCAGGGGGCAGATGGCCGGCCTCCCCAGCTACTGTTTGGGAGTGAGTAAACAGCTGGGGACATTGGTAGAGGAGCGGCAGCAGAACTGGAAGGCTCCTTTTTGCCTCTTCTGCAGCGGCCCCAGGCCATGGCCGGAGACTGGTAAATTGGGACCGGTAGGCTGGGGGTAGGTGGGGGGCGTGTAGGGGAAGGATAGTGGTGAGCAAGTGGTGGGTGAAATTAGTCATCTAGCTAGGAGAAAGCTGAAAGTTCGACCAAATTTCATCTTCAGCTCTGTGCAGGAAACCTCCCTAGCCACCCAGACCCAATTAGTTAAGCTTTTGCTTAATCACTTCCAGGGTTAGGGAACTCACTACCTGTGAAAAAGCAGCCCAATCCAGTTTTGGGGGGTGGTTTTGTTTTGGTTGTGTTTTGGCAGCTTGCCAGTTACAGGGATTGAGCCTTGGACCTTGATGTTATCAGCACCAGGCTCTAACCAACTGAACTACACACCAGCCCCTAAACCAGTTTTGGTGGCTGGCCTTTCAGGGATCTGGAACCGATGACCTTGGTATTACAAGGCTGCGCTCTAACCAACGGAGCTAACCGGCTAGTCCCCCCAATCCAGTTTTGAAAAACTATATTTGTTTGAAAGTGTCTTTACTTCCCAGCTAAACAATCCCAGGTCCTTCGGTTCTGCCTCTGCGGTTGCCCTCCTGCTCACTACCTCTGTCACTGAGGTCCTTAACACTAGTGGCCACGAATGAACATGGTGTGCTGACAGCAGCTGGGACTCTTGCCTCCTTCCTACAGACACCAGACTTTTACTAATGTGGCTTTTTTGGCAACCCCATGATGCTGTTCATGACACAGTTTGCAGTAAAGGGAAACCTCAGGTGTTTTTTGTTGTGCTGATTTTTGTTTTTAAAAACGAGCTGCTCAACTGATCTCCCGACCTGAAATTGTGTGGCTGTTTTAGCAGATGTTCACATTTAGGCCCGTATCTCCCCTTGTTAGTTTTTTTTTTTTTTTCTTCCTTTTTGCCTTTTTTCGTGACCGGTAACGGGATCGCAACCCTCGGTGTCGCGCCCGCACCGCGCTCAGCCAGTGAGCGGACCAGTCTCTATATGGAATCCGAACCCTCGGCAGGAGCGCCACTGCACTCCCAAGCGCCGCACTCAACCGAGTGCGCCACCGGGCCGGCCCAAGGTGGGAATTTTTATTATTTGCATTATACAGATGAGAAAACTGAGGCAGAAAGAGGTTAATAAATTGCCAGAGATCACAGTGGTGCCAGCCACAGCAGGATGCTCAATGCAAGCAGTCTTGCTCTGGAGCCTGTGCTCAGGGTGAAAACTCGGTTGCTTCTTGACCTCTTAGCCTATACAGATTTCTCTATTTTCTGGTTTTGCAAGAGCTGCAAGTTCACAAAAGAGATATGCGACAGTGAACATCATGTCTGCTTTCCAGGGTATTTATTAAATTATTTCCTAAAAACAAACACCTAAAGCTATTTGCAGTGGACAGAGGCTCACGCTTAGCTCAGCTGAAGCAGATACAAAGATTTTGTGCAGGAGAGCAGATGTGTGCTTTAGGTTGTCTGAGTCCTACCTATACTCACAAGAAAGCAGGCACATTTTCCTCTTTACCATGACACTGGTTTCTTTATGTTCAACAAAATAAAACATCAGTCCATTCTCTCTGAAATTATACCAAAGAATGCCACAAGAATTTTTAAGACTGGCTTCCCATTGATGAGGTGGGGTAAGTGGCAGAAAAATTGTTGAGTCACCTTTGTGAGCGAGTTTAATTAAACTTCCACGTAGTCATAGCTGAGCAGTAAGGATTTTGCAGGACAGATGCCACATGTGGCTGGTTCATGTCAAAACTGATCTTTGAAATTTAAACTGACAAATTTTCAGCAACATCCATCAACCCCTTCATCTAGGCAGCCAAGACCCAGTTGTTTTTTGTTGTTCTTTCTTTGGTTTTTATTTTAATTTTTTAATTGCTACATAATAATTGCACATATTTATAGGGTACATGTGATATTTTGATACATGTATCCTAGTACAATGTGTAAGGATCAAATCAGTTGTTTTTTGTTGTTTTTCACAACACAGCTCAAGACATCCTCTTGGCTTCCTGATAGTAGTGGCCTGACCAGAAGGGATAAAGCATCCCTAGGTGCAGAAGAAAGGGCAAATCAGATGGTACAGTTCAAGCACAGTGGAGGGTGATAAGAATTTCACTCTCATTTCAAAGAGAGAGAGCACAGGAGGAAGTGGGTTTGTGTCAAATTAGAAACAAGAACCTCTTCCTATCTTGAACAGGTTGCTGTGCCAGACTGTGTAATCTCCCTCCCTCTGGAGACCTTGAGCTGCAGGATGAAACACATCTGATCAGCACAACCGGCTTCCAGAGTTATTTCCAGATGCCATCAATAAGTCCCTAAGATTGTCATGAATCAGCAAAATCAATGTGTGCATTCCAGTGACTCAAGTCACCTGGCTTCCTTGCTCTCAATTCAGGTTGCTTAGGTGAGAAAGGTTAAAATAAACAACAAAAAGATACACAATCAAGATCCCCCAAATCCTCAGCAAAACACAGGTATTCATTAATTCTTTTTAAAAGAGATAAATAAACAGAACATATTTCATTTCTTTTGGCCTTTGTTCCTGTCTGAATACTATTAAACCAACCAGAATAGTTTTTGGCTATACAAGTATTTTTGTATTTGGTTGGGTGTCCATTTTTTAAAGGATAAAACAAAGACCACCAGAGGTTAAAAAGCCAAACCAAAACAAGCAACAAAGCTGAGGTTATGGTCTAACAGATACAGGAAAGCCAGAGCCACATCACTCAAGAAATGAGTTCAGCTCGTCTCCCCGCGCTACGGGCAAAAGGGTTCGTTTATTTCTTATTAGAAGATATTCTAGGCATTACATGAAATGTCAGAGGTGGATTAGGTTTAGGGGTAGCCAGATTTAGCAAATAAAAACAAAGATCCCCAGCTAAATTTGCATTGCAGATAAACAATGAATCATTTTTTAGTATAACTATGTCCTAAACATTGCATGGGACAAGCTTATACTAAAAAAACGATTCATTGTTTACTGAAAATTCAAACTTACCTTGCATCCTATATTTTATCTAGCAACCTTCATTAGGTGGGGCTCTGTGGGCTTCGGGGTCAGGCAGCAGCTGGTTCATATGCCCACAGTTGGGACTTGGTAACATTTTTCTTAAACAGTGTAAAGATAATGTTGTGCTGCAGTGCATTCTGCTAAAGGGACCATAAACCAAACTCTCCCACCTGGGATCACCCATCGTGAACAAGTCCAGTGGAGTATATCAAGTTAAAGAGCAAAGCACGCAGCTGCTAGACCTTCCAGGAACTCAAGCCAAGGCAAGAGGAATTGCAGTTACTCGTGCCTTGTGAACAAGTCCAGTGGAGTATATCAAGTTAAAGAGCAAAGCATGCAGCTGCTAGACCTTCCAGGAACTCAAGCCAAGGCAAGAGGAATTGCAGTTACTCGTGCCTTCCGGGCTGGGGAATCAGCTGTCGCATGCTGCTGGGGCAGACTGCTGTCAGGACTCTGTTCATAGACAAGGAATCTTTAAAGACCACTCCGATTTCTAGTCTGTGAAGCTGGTTGGAGGATAATATTTTAACTGAGGTACAGAATGTAAGATTTACTGGGAAGACCAGAAAATCCTAGGAGCACTGCCACCTCTTTCTGTCCTCCCCAGCTGCTTAACCAACACCTCTGCCTAAACATCCTCCACTTGGATGTCCCATTTAAGCTCAACATGCTCTACACTTAATTCATTCTT